CAATGGTTTGTCCAACATTTCAGAAAAATTCTCTCTGGAATAATGGAAATAAACACACTGGTGATATTTTGCTATCAGTCTAATCTTCCCTTGAGCCAGTACAACGATTTGTACATCATTCTGTCAAAAATGTCATTTTAACTCACCAGCTGCAATTACATATGATTGCTTAATTAGAATAAGCTTTTTTAAAAAAAGTAAAATATTATGTTGCACTTGAAAAACAATAAATTGTCAGTTTGGGTCTAAACCAATTTTGCTTGCTAAAATTGTGCTATTAAGCAAGCAATATGCTGATTTTTTTTTTAAAGGAAAAAAATGGCATGCTTAATAATATACAACTTATTTTAGCCATTATAAAAATGGGAAAATGTCAAACAATAAACTGGTACCCTTTTAAAAATATTCAGGGCAATGTGATGTAATGTCAAGATAGCATGACCAATCTCACAGAACTGATTTTCAAGAATACAGTATGTTTGTAGTTCAAAGTAGCCACTGCAGGAACAACACAAAATATTTTTCATATTTCATTTTTTAGCATTTATGCAGAAGTCTTTATACATATATTGTCTTACTTAATCTAAAAGCTGTTATGAAATTCAAGTTCTTCATAATTTCTTAATATCAAGACCAAGGAATCTTGCAGGTGAAAAAACACTTCTTGTATGTAAGATTTGACAATTAAAACATATATCTGAGCCTGGAAAGGTGTATGGCTCTGTAACACTCAGCAATCTGTCCAAGTTCCAGGCAAAAACACATGGAAAAGACTCTGTAAAAAATGATGGAAAGCAAAAAGACAGTATTTCATCAATACACTGTAAATATTTCTGAATCTCCTTTCTTCTCCTCCATTACTTTAACCTTTCATGGACTCAAAAAAGTCTTGCTTCAAGTTTATTCCAAAATAGCCAAAATGAGACGTCTGGGGTTGAAATTATAGATATTACCTGCTTTGATTATTGTTAACTTTAAGGTGAAAATCTTGATTCGGAAAGTTTTAGATACTTTATTCCATTTTCATTATCTCAGGCCAAAACCTGGAATCCCATTAATTAACAGGGATTATAGGAACTAGTCACTACATGATTAGTCATTGCCTATAATGACATAGGGCTGTACAACCCCTCTCAAGTATTTCTGTAGAAAGATAAATTTTTCCTTCCTTGCAAGGTACATTTTCGTCAGGACGTTACACCTGTGTTGACTAGAGCTACTCTATTTCTCTGGGGTTAACGGTGCCAAGCACACATTTCATGCTCAATAATTAATAACATTTCTGCATGGCAGCATGAGTTTACGTTTGAAATAGGGATTGTTGACAGCTCTCCAGTGCGAAGGCAACAAATTACCTTTGCTTTGCATTGCATTTAAAAAACCCAAAGATACTCTGAGATATCTTTAGTTAGTTAAACTTTTTACTGAAAAAGAGAAAAAAATCTTACGTCTAAGTGTAAAAACCAATCTCTGATTGCTGGGATTTTATTTTTTTTTTAGAGGACAGATTGTCTGAAACAACTACTTTTTGCTCTTGCAAGCTCTTGTTTTGTGAAGACTCTCAGCTTGTGTAGTATGGACATTTCAACAGAATCTGTGCATAAACACCCACATTCTAACCATAGGCTATTTCTCCAGGATTGGAGAATGTCTTTGGGCAAACTATTCACAAATGTAGGCTATGGCACACCTCCTAGGTCTGGCCTGCCAGCATCCTCCTGATAGGGGATGTGCAACAATATGGAATGCATTCCTGACGGAGGTATCCAAGACCCTCTGCATGGAAACCAGGAAAGAGCAGAGGTAGGAGAGGCCATGAGCACAGCTGGGTCTCACCCTAACATGAAGTCAGGACAACCAGGATACCAGCACCTGGGTCTAATGTGAAGGCACAGTCTAATAAACCCCATATCTAAAGACTATCATCTCTTGTGAGTACAGAGACCCAAAAAAACCCCCAAAAAAACCCAAACAAACAGATCTGTACCTACACACGTATAAAAACTGATTTCTACAGCATTTTAGCGACTCACTATTGATCTCATTCAGGATGATGATTCCCACATTCCCCTTTTATTTCCCATAGTATCCATTAATTTTGGTGTACAGGACAAATTTTGTTGGAAGGTGAAGGCAAAGAGAAGGCAAACAAAAGGTGTTCAAACATGAGCAGTCACATTCGTGTTTCCTGCCATGTATCACATGTACATTGAATTCACAAAAAGCCAAGGCAGTACAGACATGGTTTCTCAGCCCAGGAGTAAGTTTCCTTCTCTTTACTGATCCTCTCTGGAGAGTCCAGAGCGCTGCTGCGTAAGATGTGGCAAATGGACAAGATCTGCAGTATTGAATTACTGGGAATTACTTCCAAAATCTCCTGTCACTGATCAACACTTACAAAACATATTTATTAACACTTACAAAACATTTATCATTAAGCTTTTTTCTTAAGACAGCTTCCTCATGTGCAAAAAAATGACACAGCCTAAAATGTCCCACCAAAAGATCCAAAAAAATCCCAAAAATTACCCAAAATATTTTAAATCCTTCAACAGAATTTAGTAGTTGCATTTTGCACAGAATCAAAGTCTTCTTTCTCTTTTCTAACCAATATATAGTCCTGGAATTGACAATGAGAAAATAATTCTGTTCTTACACACTGTAGTGTTTTATGCCTCCTCCATACACTAGCCAAAATACCCAATTAATTTTAACACAAGTATTTTTTATGTAAATTGCAATGAAATGTCTGGGTTTTTTTCCTCTCAATAGATTGGTTCTTTTAAAATAATCCTTATTTTTAACAACCTGGAAAGGAACATTTCTCTAATGCAAGACATTCTGAGGCAAAATCATTTTCTTTGTCTGCTCTGAAAGCTCAAAATAATTTTACCCAGAACCCCTGGGATACCTTTACAGAATGATCATCTAAAGAATTTTGCAGCTTCCTTTCAACAGTTAGATGCACTTCAAACACTAGGAGGATTGATTAAAGTTTTGTGACTATTTTCATAATTATGTGGATATTTAGCACAATGAATGGCAGTGTAGCAGTTACTATGGTTCAAGACTTAGAGGCATTATGTGATGACATACTATTTCTGATGGTGTAATTTGCTCTTGAGTGGATGGAAAATCTTGAGAGATTCATAGTAATCTCTCTGCAGACTTTCAAGGCAGTGAAATTTATACTAATGTGAAATGGACAATTTGGGGAGTTTCTTTATCTGGGTCACATCCATCCTAACCAGGGGTTCTTCAGGATGGAGTTACCAAGGACACTTACCTCTTATTTCTTTTTGTTGGGTGCATGTGAGAATTCAGTTTATTGTGAGTATTTATAGTCTTCAAATTCTTTCTCCTGCTTTTGACTTTTTCTCCTTCTGCTTTGCTAGGCAAAATATTTCTTTTGGTTATTTGGTCTAAACATTACTGTGTTTCCTTCCTGCTCTTCTGAAACTCTACTTTCTTTGATGTCTAACACTTTCACATCAGTTTTCTTTCTTTTTTTTTTCCTGTGAAGTTTCTATGTATTCTTTTCTCTTTGCTCTTTCTCTCTGGCTACCCCAATTTAATTTGTATGATCCATTTTGACTTCCTTTGTATTTTTCAGTGAATTTATCTACTAAGCCCATCCACTCTTTCTTCTGCTCTAGGAATCGGCTTCCATTTAATACGTGTCCTGTGCAAGTTTCATGCCTATCTGGGAGCACTACATATACCACACTCTGGATTGCCTTAAAACCTTGGTAGCCAGTCTACAAAATTCCTGTTGTTCCTCCTCTCAGTAAGATTGTAATTAGTAAATGAAAGGACTTTGCACTGAACACATCTCATTTTACTGTCTCTGGATCACTAAGCTTCTTCATCAGTTATTTATGCAATATACACTGCATCTGAGGGTCTACTACAACTGCACCCAATATTTAGTCTCACTTTCTGTGCACTCAGGTTATTTTTCTTTTACAGGATAGTTCTCTTCAAGGTACTTTTGCTATCTAGAGCAGGTTAATGAATGAGTAACAAATAAGTAATTTATTCTGTAATTTTAGCGGTGTTAAATGCACAAGGTCCCCTACAGAATTTGGAAATGGGATATCACAAACTCTTTGAGAAGACATCTGCAGGTATTTTGCCCAAATTTTCTTAAAGCATTTAAACACCTAGCACAAGAATTTGTACTATTAGAGTGAAGTTCACTACTGGGAAGAGAGCCTGTACAAGACCACTTCAATGCTCACATCCCATTGTAACAATGACCAGGTCTTATCATGGTATCCTATCCAGAGATTAATTAGATCCTCAACTATTAAACCCTTTACCCAAGTGAATTTTTCATCCAAGTGTGAGCTATGGTATTTAAAAATGCATAGTGCTGCACTGAGCTCTTGGATTAGGATTGATTTCTCTTGATTTTATGTCTACATCTCAGCAAGGCATCTAACTTCTGTTTATTGCTAATGGAGAGAGGAAGGCCCATTCACAACATGAACTGTGAGCCCACCCAAATTTTACCTAAGCAGTGAACTACACTGGTGTTTGATTTGAAAAGCAGAACAAGTCAAGTGTTCCAAAGATGTAGGACCAGGGAAAAATATTAAGTTAGGATTGAGAATGTGGCCACGAGCTGATTTCTCACTGATCCTTTATTTAAGTGCAGTTTCCCTTAAACCACTTAGCCTATACATTTTGGTCTAACTTCAAAAAATATTAAAGATAAAATGTTAGCAGTTATTTATTCTGTAGATTTTTTCAGCTCCTCCTATACACCTATATTTAAAGAAAATGGTGAGCACCTGTCCTGCATAACCCTGTTTGCTTTAACACCGGTCTGGGGTTTTATGCAGCTATTCCACCACTCCCACAGCTGCTTTACACTATTCCCCACCACTGCCACAGTAACATTCATGTGCATGGCCCTTTGCACAGCAGCTGTCACAGAAAGCTGAGCACGCAATCACTTCTCTCTGTTTGCTCCTGTTGTTGTCGTGACTTATTAGGTACAAAGGCAGGAGACTGGCTCCCCCGCACAAGTCGGAAATAGAGTGTTTCACCCCAAAAGGGAGTATGGGGAATGGTGGGAGAGCTACAATGACCAGGTAAGCAAACAGCAAGTGGCCTTAGGGCAGTGTCATATGTCTGTGAACAGGAGGAGCAGCCCTGGACAATGCCAGGCCACATCCTCTGTCTGCAATTTCTGTGTATCCAATAAAGTATGTTTAGAAAAGAAAAGAAAAAAGAAAACGTGTTGCCACTACTGATTTCTGTGTTCCATCTGACCACCAAAAAAGCCCTGCACCATGTTCATTCAAGTGATCTCAACCACATGTCCTGTGTGATGTTGTTGTAATACGGTGCTTTGGGGAGGAGAAATCTCACAGCTGACTCATTAAGCCAGTCAGGCAGCTGAAGAGAATCAGTTTTCAAACTTGGAGTAAGGGTAGTCCTCCTACATATTTGGGATTACATTAAGTCTAATCAAAAGAACTTTTAAAAAGGGCAGAGAACAACTGATTGATGAAAACATTTTCAATATGAAAATGTTGGTTCTTCTCAATCAAAATACTGTTGGAAAGCATTTTACAGTGGTTTTAAGGAAAGGTTTCAAACTCATTTAAAATAAAGTTTAGAATATCTTTTTCATAACTTGCTCCATTTAATTTAACTTATATACTTACTTTTTTTTTTGACCATTATATATTGCATGTCGTTAAACACCAATGTTAAAATTTAACGAATATCAAATGCTACATTTTTTCAATGTTACTGGGATTATCAGTTTCAATATAGCCATTTTGATGTTTCTCTACTGAAATGTTTTTAACTATTTAATTCTGTGAAGTACCTGGAAATTTCAGCTATTCATCTCATTTTGAGTGCAGAACGATTTCCAAAAGCTGAACTCTCCCCTAGCACAGAAAATTCTTTTATCCAGACATCTCTATTCATAAATGAATAAGCTGCATATGTCACAGATGATTATAAATATTTCATTAAACAATACTCTTAATAAGCACTGTATCTGTTACATTCTGTGAGATGTTAGAACCATTTTACCATTTATCAAAAGAGCTACTCATTCCTTATTGACCCCTATAAGATATTTATAAATGTAACCTTAAAGCACAGTATGACCAAATTACACCTTCACTTTTCCCAAGTGTTAGTTACATCACAGGTGAATTTTATCACTGCAGGAGGGTGTTCTGTGAAACATTTCACAGTGTTATGTTCCCCTTGGGTGCAGCATTCACACATATACATAAGGCCAGCAACTCTAACGCCACACAGCACACACCTGGGGGCTCCTGCAGTTTAAATAACATTAGATACATTAATTGCTGAGTGTAGTACACAATGTATATTTTTTGTCAGCTGGAATTTTTTCTTGTCCATGTGTTGTCTGGGGTTTTTTTCCTTACATTGCATTGCCTTCAGTAATAGTTATTCTTCATTTAAAAGCTATCTGCAATCATTATATAATGGATTTTTGAAGAGCAGAAAAGTACATGTAAATGTCAAACAACTGTATTTTGTTGTACAGTATTCAGTTCTGCTTTGCCGGCCAAATATATACCCTTGAAAAACTTCTTTTTTATATCTTCACAGTGAAGAATCTGTTTGCATTCCAGACTGTAATCGATCTGAGTCAAGTAGAGAGGACAAAAAGGTTCCTGTCAAAGAGGATGCCCTAACAGTCAAAAAGACTGGAAACTGTGTCAGTCTAATAGTTCCACAGCAAGACTGTCAGCTGCAAGACCTACTCAAACAGTTAAGAACACCTGCTGCTTAACAGAGAGTGCAATTGCATTTGATGGCTGTGTTTTGTTGTCTCCAGCCACAGTGTCCTGGCCAGTGGTCCTTGTCAAATTTTGTGAGCTCAGTACAGTTGTCACTGTATGGCCTGGGAATCTTCCAGACATTGCAGAACAGAAAGTAGGTGCCATTCTTTTGTCTCAGTAAGTACCAGGCCAGTGCTAGAAGTCACTGAGATGAAGAGCAGATGGAAAAGGACAGATGCAGGGGTCTGACCATTTGTATATGATGAGAAAACCTCATCATCTCACAGGAAAAAGAGTTCCCATGATACTAACCAAATCTCACCTACATCATTTCAATCTAAATAACGCTGTGCAATTCATACTGGGCAGTATTGTTGACCTCATGTCCTCAAATCCCTTGGCAAAATTATATTTCTGTTCTAATCCTGGCATGCATATTTTCCACATCAGAGCCTAACTATCTCTTTATATTAGTCTTACAAGTGCCATGGAATTTCTCAAGATGAAAAGTGTCATAAAAATAGCAGTAGTGGGTACACTAAGTGATGCCTTGTAAGGCTATTTCTCATTAAGGGGCATTTGGGCATCCTGCATCACCCATGACCATCATTCACATGTATAATAAAATCTATTATGGAATGGAATGTTTATGAGTCTTTCAAAAAGCAGGCATCACAGCATCATTTATTTTGCATTTCTTGCATCATATTTGCATTTCTGATCTGATTAAATGCAAAAAATAAGAAACTAATTAATAATTTACAGGAGTAATTTTCCTGCTGATAAGTCCCATGTGCAAAAATACTTCTGTTATTATTTATCAGGCATGTCAAACATCTAAAATTCCTCTAATTGTATCTTCTTTGCAGAGGATAGAAATCAAATCAACCCTTGACTCTGGAGATACAACTGGGAGAATTAAATCTTTTTTTTTTTTTTGCGTGTGTGTGTGTGCGTGTGTGTTTGTGTTGGTGTTTTTTTTTCTTGTGCACTGCTTGTATTCCTGATTTCAGAGTCAGATAAGGTGATGGTTTCTACTTTTCCCAGTTTTCATTTCATACCTTTAGCAATAAAAACAATGAAAAATCTTTAAAGCATCAGGAAGCAGAACTCACAGTCCAAGAGGTGCTGTTGTCCCTCCATCCTGTGAATAGAATGCTCCAGTGTATGTGCTCAGAGATGTTTAAAATGGCATTTTTCAGAAAAAAAGTGAAACCCAGCACTAGCTGCCTTAATGAACAATTGCAATGAGGTCACAGTAATAGAGGAAAGATGTTACATCTGATACCAGGATAATTTTTGCATTTTGGGTGATGATAATAGGTGTACCAGAAATGTTTCATTCAGATACAAGACACTTCGTTTCCTGTTCTAATCAGGCATATTGCTGAAGCAGCTGCCAGCATTACCATTGCTGGTGGCTGTGCTGGAAAGTCATTGGCAAAGGTTCTGTCCATCAACTCTCTCTCAATTTCTAGTTTCATTTATCCTTATATATTAAAGTTATTTATATAAATGTCAGTTGAGATTTTCATGAGGAAAAGAGGTATCAACAGATTACAGTTTGTGGAGAAATATAAATAATTGCTCTTGTTGACAACAGAAAACTACTCTGAAAAATAATTGTAAAATATATTGCCCTAGAACTCGGTACAGGACAAAATTAATTTTTGCCTTGTGTCATTCCTCTTTTTTGTTTGTTATAATTTATCTCCATAGAAAAAGCAATATGAGAATAATTTAAGCTAAGTAATTTGAGTGATACAGCACTAGCAGGTTATCTGTGTGTGGCAGAATTGACTTTCACCCAGGGAAACAATTACATACACGTATAGAGGTTTCCTAAAATGAGAGAAATAGCAATGACATAAAATAGCATTACAGTGATAGAATTGACCTAATTTAGACACCTTTGGTTCTATATTCAGTTTTAGCCAGTCATCCAGGTTATCCTATAGTCCTGGGAGAAACTATGACTTACTTGTTCATACAGGTATACTGGAGTTCACCACTTCAACCACTTATTTCATTTCAGTGCTTTTAGCATGTTGCAAAGCATTTTCATTCTCCCAAGGATGAACTTGTGCCACTACAAGCAAAAGGAATAATGAACTGAGGTTGCAAGTGACAAGATGAAAAAAAATACATATGTGCCCCTGCTTGCATGCATCACAGACACACACACAGACTGTCCCTTGTGAAGAGTCAATTTTTAATTAAATCAACAGATAGCACACAAATCCTTTTCAGGCAGAGTAATTATATCACTGACTCTTTAATAAGAGGAGTCTCAATTATATCTTTGAGTCTTTCAGCAGAGGAGTCTGAAAGCAGAAGAGCTTCTTACTGTTTACTTTGAATAACAGGAGATCTCTTTTAGGAAGCTATATGGTCTGATCCAAGTACAGAAGTTTATCCTGCTTACCACTGCCAGCTGGTTCTGGGGATAACAAGGAAAGACTTCTCCCTTAAAGATAGGAGAAGTCTGCACAGTGTTGAAGCAATATCTTAACTATGTCATCTTACGAAACAAGATATTGTTTCAAGCTTGAATGTAACATTGAAACATCTAAACTTAAATTTGACACCAATTTTAGCTCCATAATATTTAGATCAGTGTTCTGAAATTCAAAATTTCATTCATGGGCTTATAAATTTAAGAATTTGAAATAATTGTTTTATTATAGTCCTGTGAGGACAGATTGCAAACAGATCCTACAGGCCTCCAACAATTTATTGTCCGGTGTCTGTTTTCAGGTGTATCATTCCAAATCTGCAGTCAGATTCTGACACTGGTATGTGAGGAAGAACAAAAATTATGTTAAATTTTTGTATTAATCTGTAATGATTACCCTTGTATTCCAGATTCCACTGATGAATAACACTATGTCACTATGCATTCTAAGCTCTCTTAAAAACTAATGAATTCCATATTTTAAACTGATTTTCCTATTTCAGTTAAAGATATTAACAAGAGAATAAGTGACTTATTTTCAATTTACATATGCTTTCAGTAACTCTCCCCAGTACAAGTCCCTAGGCTCTCATCATCAGAATTAATTTTAGCAACTCCAGGTAATTAATGAGAATGGCACCCTTGCTAAATTATTAGTGTTTTAAGCTGCTGTGTCTGTACTCCTCTTCCTGTTTTTCATTTCTTCTGTATTTTGAAGGACCTCACAAAATACATTTGCTTTACTAGCATCTGACTAAAAAAATGCTGATGGCAGAGCTATGCACCATCTCATAGGTAATCATACCAGAGAGGAAAAAATACTACTACAGTGTACTACATGTATTACATGTAGTAATACAAAATTACTACTACAGCAGCCAAAACAAAAGACAAAGCGATCTATTCTATACAGTTAAAAATCTTACATGTGTAAAGGGAGGGGAATATTTTTTTTACACTTAAGTGGATAAAAAGCAGTCAATATCTCTTATGAATACAAAACAAAGCCCTAAAGACAAGTGTATCTAAAAAGATTAAGTAAGGGAAGAAAATGAGAAACAATACTAATTGCAATTCTGTCATCAAGTGGACAACTGTAGGAGAAATATTTAAAGTATCAGATACTTCAAAAGCTCTCATTTCTTTTACATATTATATCATGGTAGGTGTAGCAGGCTGGGAAAATGCCAGGAAAAATCAAAATCAAAGCAGCTTTTAATAAAGGCACTGAAGAAACAAATAGTACAATTTTTTTTCTAAGGAAACCCCTCTTGTGCATAAGGCTGAACCTAATTAACCTTTAGTGAAAGAAATAAAAAAAAAGGTGCTGCAAAAGGCTTTGTTTTATCAAAAAATTTTTTTCTAATATTTTAGTGTCACTGATAGGAGTTTGCTGCTCTCTGCTCTGCTCTGCTCTATTCTGTGTAATGTGCCAACAGAAAAGGAGAGCAGGGAAGAAAAATGGGCGTGCAGGCAAACTTTGCACTGGAATTCCTTTGGGAGTTCAAAAGTTAATTCTTTTGTTCTGAAATGAAGGAGCCAAAACCTTTCTAAAGAAAACCGTAGAATTTCACTGACCTAAAGTTTACCATCATTGAAGAGTCAGGGCAGAGCTGGGCATAGTGAATGTAAACAACTCCATTACTAGACATCCTAGTCCTAACCATGTCTAGTCATCCTAGTCTCTGATCCATTTTTATTTCTCTATTTTTAAATTGTGTGCATCACAGTCGTTTCCAGTTAACCTGACAGAGTAGCAACATGTGGTTAGAGCAGGATCCTTAAGTATTATCACTGCAATTTATCCATAACCGTTTCATACCAACAGAAGAAAACAAGAGGTGCTCCTTTCACAGAGGTGATAAATGATTGCACACTTTAGTTCAGTGTTGACTCCATAGTAAGTAAGTGCAACATGATAAAGTGGATGATACGCTTCCGACACAACAATTCCTACTGTCGCTGGGCAGACTACTAGGATTTTATCTATAGATTCATTCCTTACTAATAAATCATAGAATCATAAGGGTTGGAAAAGACCTCTGAGATCACTGAATGCAACTGTTAATCCAGCATCACCGTGTTCACTACTAACCCATTTTCCCGAGTGCCACATCCACACATGTTTTGAACACTTTCAGGGATGTTGATTCTACTACTTCCTTGGGCAGCCTGACCACCATTTCAGTGAATGGTACTTGTTTCCTATTCAGTTTTTAATATCAAGGAATTTGCAATGAATAATGGTCAAGTCTTTCAGGTTTTTTCACAAAATTTATAACAGCCACTGTTATAATTTAAAACAGCCACTGGGTCTCCTTCAGAGCCCTAGGATCTCCATGAGAGCTTGATTATGCTTGCACATAGTGCGAAGGCTGTGAACAAATGCTTCAACCAAGACTGACCCAAAACCAAACTGAGATTCAGGGAGGTTGGTGTCTTGTTCCACTGAAGATTTAACAGTCAGCTGCCTTTGCCAAGGGCTGGACACAACCTCTGGTTTCATCCTTTTCCTTTCCCCAGGCTCTTCAGTCTCATAGCTCTCCTTAGTGATTGTCTCTTTAACTGTGACCAGGGGAGGAAGTAACATGTTACCTTCACAAGCTCTTAAAATCTCACCTTCAGTCAATGGAAATGTCTATGTGCATTTAGTGCTCATTTGCACACCTAAAGCCATAGGATTTGAAACATCTCTACTAAGCCAGTGCTTGAAGTCAGGAGGGGTGCTAAAATATACCTTTCTTTGGGCAAACATTTCTATTTGCTAGTCCTTCATGTTAATGGCATTTATTTCACCACTGTGGCAGGCATGTCTGTCACAGATCCCTCTAAGACCTCACCAAGAGGACATCTGGTACTGGAACTAGGCCCTCTTTTTCTGCCTAATTAAAGTTACAAGTGCCAGATCAGTCTGCCTCCTGGTCCAGCTCAAATTCAGCTGCAGCTGGGACAAGGTCCCCATCATACCAGACCTAGAGGCAATATCTCATCTACCAAATGATCCAAATTCTGCTCCTGCTGCTGGCATTGAGCTCCCACTGAGCTCAGGACTGAGCATGACCAAGGAGCCTCAAGACCCATCAAGTATATGTTCCTGGGAGAGAAGCATACAATTCTCAGAGGGAACAGTTTTCCTCTTCAAGACATTAGTGTCAGCTCCTGTTCAGTCCAGGACCGCATTCATAGAAATCCAAAGAACCAGAGTGAGCAGTGCTACAAATCAGATTTGCTTTTCCTTCTTGCTCTGATTTTGGTACAGCAGAAGGAAGGGATTGTCTCAGCTGCAAGTTACAAACCACTGGCTGTTTTGCTTGATATTTTGGGAATAGGGGTCTTACAGTCAATGTCCAAGATCCAGATAACATCCTGGTGGCCACTGCAGCAAAGGGATGAACCCTTATGCACTTATACGGATCATCTCCCTGTCTACCGTCTCCTAAAGTACTCATTGGTTTACATTGTGTTTGTCTACTGGATTCTGTCATGCTGCTTTTGAAGGGGAAAGCTGTTGGCATATGTTGTGTTACACGATCCATCGTAATTCCATGTAATGTAATCACAGATGTAAACCCAGAAAAAGGTTTTGTTTACACTCAGCACACAACTTTTTTTTTAGATGACTGTAAGAGCTATTAAACTGATAGTTTGAGGCAAGCCTCCACATGAAGGCTGATATAAAGTCATCTGTTTTTAGTAAACTGTGTGCTTTACAAACTGTTACGCTGCAGGCTAATGTGAGTATATCTATTGCAGACTTAAAAAGCAAACAAAACCCAAATTTGTGATAATCTGCCAGGGTTTCCAATGTTGCTGTCTTTTCAAAAATCCTCAGTGGCTATAGCAAATGCTTTGGAAACCAAAGTGAATTGTCTGAAAATCTGTTGCATTTTGTATATAAATCATGTTTATTTGTATGTGGAGACTGTTTTTCCTGTTGATGTCACTTCACAGTCATTGTCTGTTTCAGCTAAAAAATATTTCTAATGGTCTTCCTTAATTCCAAGAACTATAGGTTGATATATGTGCAAACACCAGCTTATCAGCCTGAGGAAAATGTAAACGGAAAGGACACATTTCATACTATGTGTTTATAAGTGCTACTGCTGCCTTTTTTTAAGTAGCAAGAGGAGAAAAATAAGCAACTTTGATAAAGAGTAGAGTATGATGATATCTGAAGAGAATTTACCATAAGAGGATTCATTTTTCAGAAGAGTGGAGCAAAATATTTATTGCTGTCTTGCAACTCAGGTCACCATGAGGAGCTGCTTGTATAGTTTGTCCAGTATTTTTTTCCTACTAGGAACATAGTTTCATTCTCTGAGCTGACCTGCAACTAAAAAAAAGTACATCATTTCTTTAATCTAGTGGCAGCTAATTTACCAAGTACCTCAAAGAAGAAGTCACACATCAGAAGCATCTCTCCACCTACAGCCAGTATAGCCCCTTTCTGTGTATTACTCTAGTACTTCCAAGCAGTGGGATATAAAGAGATGTTTTTTTCCCCCAGCCGTAACAGACTGGGGGAAAGACTCCATCTTTCAATCTACAATCCCTACCCCATACTAGGAATCCATGCCCCAAAATTACATCAAGCTCCTTACCACTGAATGCTCCCAGGCCAGCCTACATACTTGCCCCCAGTTAATCCAGGTCTCTCACTTACTCTTTTCAAGCACTTAATTATCTTTCACTCCTCCCTACATCCCTCGGTACCACAGCCTCTGTGATACCAATCCAACAGAAGGGAAGCCATCAAGCTGCTCCTATCCTCAGGATGGACATTGCCTATGTCTCAAGGGCCACAGCAGAGGGGTCAGCAGTGGCCATGAACTAGCACAGAACAGATCATGGCTGGACGCACAAATGGCCTGTGAAATGAGCTGGCACACTGCTTGTTGTCCTGGGACATATAAGTATAAATTATAGATATAAATATATTACAATTGATATATATAGATATAGATGAAATTGCAGTCGGCTTCATGATGAATATAAGCTCTGAGATACAATATACCCATGGTATAGGTACAGTGATTATATTTTTAACTTTGATGCAAGTTACCATCTTATTTCTGTTTACAGCTCTAATGGGAAATCAGTTTCCTGGGCCCAGAATGAGAAAAGCAGCCGAGGAGCACACCTTTGGCAGCGGTTGTCAGTCCATATCAACAAAAAAGAGAACCCCAACCAAACTGCAGTGATCAAGCCTTTTTCTAAAAGCACAGATAGTAGCCGACCCAGTAGCAGCGCTACATTTCCTGAGGCTAGTGCCAAACCACTTTACGACGTTTCAGAAGCCGAAGAGCAATACCCAGCTCAGTACCGACCACAGACTCCCTCACCTATCAGCACTTTGAGCCACAGAACTGCCTCCGTTAGCCGAACAGAAGACGATGTCCCTACCTTCCAGTCAGAACCTCCTCAGCGAAGTAGCTCCTCTCAAGGCTCCCTCATGGAGCAGATCAGTAGTGTGGTTACTCGTTTTACAGCCAATATCAGTGAGCTGAACTCTATGATGCTTTCAACAGCTACTCCAGGGACAATGGTGGCTGCTCCTCTCTGCTCTTCATACCTGATTCCACGTGAAATCCAGCTCCCTACAACAATGACCACGCTTGCAGAGATCCAACCACTTCCTGCCATTGAAGTCAATGGCGCTTCACAGTCTGGTAGGAAACCTTCAAATGACAGTGTCAAAGAAGGCACTTCAGAGACACCATCAGCCAAGCAAGACCTGGAGGAGTTGGTAGCTTTAACTCCTCCTTCTCCTTTTAGAGACTCCGTTGATTCTGGAAGTGCATCTCCCAGCTCTCCAGTTTCTGAATCAGCTCTCTGTATCCCATCCTCTCCCAAATATGACACACTCCTCATCAGAGATTATACTCAAAGTTCTTCTTCGCTGTGAATGTAGTTCAACACAACATTGAATCTCAACAGCTACAAGGAAGTAGTGAGGGAATAGCCAAGCCTTCAAGACCTCCAGTGTTTACGCAGATAGAGTGAGAGGCATTGGGTCATCTTGTGAGGAACAGAGGGGAAGAAGAAGAATTATTTGAGGAGTGGAAACACCAGATTAATTATGCTGATTTAAAGACAAAATGACTTGTGGCAGATTATCGTGGCCTTAAAAAAACATGGGCTTTTCAGAAACACTGAATCTACTTTTGAGGGCTTATAAGGAGTCTGTTAATCCAGTTACATACCAAGTGCTTTGCTTTAGTATTACAATGAACTGTGTGTACAATATATGGGGCAGGGTGGGAGGGAAACTAGATTGTAAACAACTGTACAATGGTTTGTTTGTTTACTCAGATTCCTTACCCAGAAGTCAACCTTGATCTTTTATCAAGAATAGAAGACCAAACATTGAATGTACATTTTCTAACAGACTCAAATCTGGGACCAACCTGTCAAGCTTTCTTTCTTTTTTTTTTCTATGAAGATCTCAACAAGTAGTAATGTATGTTCAATAACTATGAAACTTTTTGCTGAAGAATATTGTGTCCGTGATACCTTACACTTGGATAACACTAAGCTGAGGCTCTGCAGTGAGTGACTGCAATATGGAGGGCTTTACAAGTGACTTCTCTACCTACACATTTGTTTATAAAATTCTCTTCTATCGGTATCAAAAATTCAATTTGTCAACATTGGATTCACCTTCACAACAACAAAACCCAAGGAAGATTTCCTGACTATTTCACCATGTTGCCAACTAATAATGAAGTAGCAAAAAATATTTTCTGGAGTACTGTTTTGTAATTCCCTTATCAGGGCAAGTTGTTGAGATGAATATTCTCTTTCTAGCAGCACTACTGAGCTATATTATAGCTGCACTCCCTACTGAAACTAATACATTTTTACGGATGTTCTTATGCTAACACTACCAGTTAAAATACTTATTCGGATTCCCATAATCTTTGCTTGTAAGGAACAGTTAACACTCTAAGGATTTTCTCCATAATGACAGAATTCTAGGAGACCAATTTGGATTATGATGAATGCTTGCTGTCAGTGGAAAGGTTGTTGTAATCACAATTAACATATATAGGGAAAAAAAGACCCATGTCAAAGTCTGCTTAGAGGTGATTTAGCTACTCTTTAATAAGCAAAAATTTTGAACTTTATTTAGCTGCTGATACATTGCAGCTATGAACTGTGACAAAAAAAGTACTTTCAAAGCAATACAGAGTAAAGGTTGAAACAGAGAAGAGCTAATGAGATATGAATGAACAGTCTTTGTTTCTTAACAACTCACAGAATAAGCAAGGGGATTCCTCATATTTTTTTCCTATATCAAGGTAGTACAGTTTAGTGCACTTCATACTGTCACAGCACTTTTTTAATACAGGCAGGGAAGAGTTTTAAAAGTTTGAATAGTAGCTAAATAATTTTTGATAGGTATAGTTACATAGAACTTTTAAGTCGGACCCTAAACGCACACTGTATTGGCTCTCTTCTTCATGACATAGCTGTCCTCAGGTGCCAAACTTTTATGAGTTTGTTTTATTTTGTTTAAGGGTAGTATGAAGTGGTGTGTGATGTACTTCAATTCAAAGTTGAATTGATGTAGCCTTATACAGAAGACAGCTTCAAGGAAGGGAGCCTTGAAATAAGGCTGCTATGCTTCATTTTCAAAATCTTTTAGATCTTATTTCTTCAAAGATAATGAATATTTTGTAATCAAAATTCATACCTCCTTTTCCTCCCCCATGCCCAAAATAATAAATATTTGATCAAACAAGCAAAACATGAAAGCACATTCACATACTCTAGCAAAGATCATTTTCTATTCCTTTGGGATGCTTGTTTCACTATTATGTGCTGTACTCCAATTTACTGCCCAACAACATTTAAAATAGAAAAGTAATAGATAACTGAATCCAAACCAGCACCTCAGAGAGATACTCAGTGACGCTGTGCATCCTGAGCAAGACGGTGTTATCCAGTTTCAGTCTGGGCATGCTTATTTTGCCAGGTACAGTTGTTTACTAGCTATGCCTATAGCATGAACAGGCAGGTCATGAAACAGCTCTACTCCAGAAGGCAAATTGATACACTTAGTCATGACTGTAGGTCCTTGTTGCTTATATGTAGCTTTTGCCTCCTCACATGACAGCTTAGCACAGACTCAGTTCTGTGCTGCTGTATGGTTTCCCGACTAGAGCTCAGTTCTGCCCTCTTGGTTCACAGTACTAGAATGTCTCATCATCCCCTAGCTGCCCATGTCTTTATGAGAAAGAATCTTCTGTCACTGGTTACAACCTACACTTAAGGGAAGAGCATGTCCAATCAGTCTGTGACACAAATTCTCATTTAGGGAGACTAGACCACTTAATTGTTGTTTGTGGAAGACTTATATAATAATATATGTCTCCCATCAGTGCAATATTGTTTTGATATAAACAATTGAGATAATTTGATATAAACTACTGAGATAGTTAATGTTAATTTTAAAAGGATTCTATTCCTACCTGTTCTCTTATACTTTAAACTGTAGACCAATGTCTTTACAAGAACATTCTCCATCTTGATCTTTCCCTAGTATTTTAGGTCCCCATTTATGTAGTCTTTTTATACAGTGGTGGACAATTAATATTAATGTATTCCTGCTCAAATCAGTGGGTTTCACTGCACCATGAAATAATCAGCAGTGGAAATAAGGATTATACAGAAAAACAAAAAACCCTATTTTTAAATACAAGATTAATAAAAAGGAGTAAGAAATAGAAACTGTCAAACTCAGCATAAATATACCTCTTCTGCTTCGAAACTGCAATTCTGAACCATCCTGGCCATACTTATTGCTCAGAGCTTCCTGACAACTTTTGTATATATTGCCAAGATGATATAGGTATACAGATGCACCATGTGCCGCCAAACACACACATCCCTCAATCTAACACCTGAATGCATGTTTTAAAGGACTAAAACCCTAATGCTACACAACCCAAATTTTAAACATTTTATTCACTCTCATTTTGGGAGTAGTCATGTATCTTTTGCATATCTATCAACCACAGTAGAAATTTTAGTTGCACAAGGAACCATGGATGGACCTTGTTGAGATTGTACCCTCTTGGAGTCAGTCTATTTTTAATGAAAAATAGAACAGCCATAGTGGCATTTAAATAAGGCAGAATAAATCTAATTGTACAGCCTAGAATACACCAATGTCACCTTCTATAACGTGTTTGGATTTCAACAAAAGGAGAAAAGGGATTTTGGAAAAGAAGGTGGCAAAGGTGTAATGCCTGTAGTAATAATTCAAAGGAGCCCAGAGGGAGATTGGCAAGACTGGAAAGTTCTTTGAGAGAAGTCAGTGGGTTTGACATAAGGGAAAAGAAAATTATGAATGATAGACATGAGGATTTCATTATGCTGTTTTTATGCTGGTCTCTGTTTAGGACATCAAGATATAATGGCAGGGTCTTTCAGGCATAAATGTAAAAGTTACAATCACGAATACTTTCCATTCTAACTAAAGAATGTGCAAGTACCAACCGAATGGCTTGAATTTGCCTTCCAATTTAGTGCTGCTGCCAGAAAGGGAATTAAAGGAGTTGAAACTTTAAAGGAGTTGTCATTCTTGACCAAAGGGACCTCAAAAAATCATTTATTTCTTTTACGCTTGAGGCCAACCCTGAAGAGTGAAGGTGTAACCACCTCTGGATCTGTGCTTTTGAAATAAAGTGAATCACTCTGGCAGCCCAGTTGGGAAAAAAAATCTTTGCAATACTGAAGAAGAACGTATTTTTAAATTGGGTCTGAAGAATAATTGCATGATTTTGGAGATGTGCTTCCTTGTACTTCTATCTGAACATTTGGTGCCTAGACTCATACAGATACTTTAGACCACATATTTTTAGACCACAGTCCACAAATCACTTGCTGATGTTTCATAGGAGCCTAGCTGATCACAAGGTCCTGGTTTCTTCCATTGATTCCCAGCTACAAAAGTGAGTTAGAAGCTAAATGCTAATTAAAAAGCAACCGTTAAAAGATTTAAAAGTAAAAAAAAAAAAGTTGTGTTAGTTTGCTTGGATGTTTATTCAGTTACTGTGTTTGCAAAAGGAAAACTTTTTATCAAAACTGGAGAATAAGATCTCCAAAGAGAGCAAACGGGAAGGCCAATCCATGATTCTGGTTCTGGATAATAGCAGAGTTCCCCTGGGAATGTATTCATTAGAGTGTGTGAGACTAAAACTGAAAAACAGCATAGCTCTGGGTGTAAGCTCTGTAAAGGAAAGTGTGCAACCTTGCTATTCTGCTTAATACATCATTTACGAGGTGAGAGGAAAAAAGATGACAGAAACAGACAACATGAAAAAAGTCAGTTCCTTAGGGAAATCAGAGCACTATGCTCAGGATTAATAATGTGACCATGACTTTTTTAGTGTATTGGAGACCAGTGTCAGGGCTAACTCTAAAAAAAAGGAGTTTGGGGCCTAAAGTTAGGATTTCATTAGAACTTAATACCTACATTTAAAACTCAACTTTAAAACCACTATTCAACTGCCACCTTACTCGGGCATCAAGCACTGTATGTCTGCGTATGCTTAGAAGTACCCTCATCTTCACACATCTAAGAAACTTTGTACATAATTCATGCTAAAATCCATCAGGAATGCAGAAAACAGTGGTTCCTTGGTTAAATCCCTGTATATCCCATGAGTGAGTACACAGAATGCACAGTACTTAGACATCAGGATCATACTCCCTACAAAATGAAGTAGAAATCTTCCTTTGTTTTAAGGTTATGGGTCTGGTTATGCTGCTGTTTTTATGACACCTTTAAGGTTAGAATAGTCAGGCAGAAGGCAAGTGACCTGAATTCAGGCCCTACCATTGCCAGAGGTGATGAAACCTTCCTCCTGGCTGGAAAGTGCTCTAATGACTCAGTTTTGAGATATTCCCTGTTCGTCTCACTAAGGTCATTTTACAGAACAGAAAAAAACTCAAGAGCCTTGCATTAGAAAAGAAACAGCTACTGTGCAACCTGATAGGACATACACTTGGTATAATTAAAGATCATATATGATCATTTAATATAAAATTCTTTAAAAATTTCTGGAACAGAGACCAGGTGAGTATTTTATCTTCGAAGAAGTGGAGACAATCTTTTGTCTGTGCTATGTATTGACTAGAAAAAATGTTAAATGCTTCCCTGAACAGTGTTTTAGTGACAGGAGGGGAGGATGTGCCCTTACATAACTCTGTATCTGCAACCATCTTGTCTTCCATCTGGTGTTCTTATACCCTTTCATGGAAAGGAGAGACTGAGTCTTCTTGGATAGGTGAAGGAATTAAACTTGGGGTTCCCACTTCTCTGAGACTGCAGAAAAGGGACCCATTTCATTTTCCTCCAGCCATCTTATACAAAGGAAACTCATCTTTAAAACAAAAAGTATAGCAGTGTCCAAAAATTGGTCCCAATGGAAAATTAGCGTTTTCTGCTCATTGCATTTCCATACTGACTCAAGTAGGATAATCCTGGGCATCTCTTTCCTTGTTGTGTTGTTTTTATGGGCACCTAACTCTCCTCAAAAACTCCATAGCAAGGCTAGACATTTAACAAAGGGTTCTGACTCCCACACTAGAGCCAAAAAACTATGTATTACACTGTATAACTAAGGGTTGAAGTCCTTTGCTGGCATTGGCTCCTAATCTATTGAGGTCAATGGACTCACTTCAGATGAACATCCATGTAAAGGAAATCAAAGTTTGATAGTAGCCAGTGAAGTCTAGATTTTGGCTACTTGTTCTGCAGAGAATGATAATGACAGGATGTTCTTCCCACTTTCTTTTGAATCAAACAGCAGATGGATTTTATTAGGTTCGTTCCTGGAACTAAACTTGGCGAATAGTACCTTCCTACTATACTTCTTTATCATTGCTACTCTATCTGGTACCCCAATGGGAAAATCATACTCTAACTTAACATATGTATTAAAGGATGTGAGAGAACATGTCCAAGAACAAGAAACAGGTCACACTTTTCTGGCAGTTTCATGAATCTCATAAAAAGAAGTCAATATTCTTCATGAACAAGAAAATCATTCATCTGCTACCCATTCCATTGGGCATTTCACCTGGTAAAAACTTCAGTTGAGTCACTCAAATTCACTTTTTTTGCAGTGGTTTATTATTATATCCTCTATTCAAACCTCTGCAATTGCCACTTACAATTTTATACTGTGAAAAGGAAAAGAGATACAGACCTGTGAAGCATAAAGGTAAGTAAAAAATTCATCTGAGTGATTAATTGGTATATATGACTGGTTTTGTCTTATCTGAGTAATGACAGTACTAACAAATAACAATCATTAAGTCACTCTTATCTGCCAAATGGGAACAAATATACTATGTATATTACATGTAATAATAGGATTATATGGCAGCTGCTGGTGGTATTTGTAATTAGAAATCTATATAGAATATAGATGTTTTAGAGAGACGGTGCCAATTCCAAAAGATCTGTGTGGGCTATAAGTGCTTGTAATTATTTTTTTTTAATTTGCTAATAACTTATGAAGAACCGGTTTCAAACATTCTGTGAGCATTTGTTCTTTTTTTATGTTGTTGCTGCTTATACTATTAAAAATAGAGAATGTAAAGTTATTATTTTGATGTGAACTGAAAATGATTTTCATAAAATTTAACATTTTTATCAGCTTTGATTTTGCTTTCTACCTGTACAAATGTAATTTATTTTAGCATTTAAGAATACACTTGCTTGTTTCTCAATTGTCTACATCATGTTATAGTTGGTGTTTTTGAACAGTATTAAAAAAAAATCTGTGATATGACTGAAAACTGGACTTCTTTTTCTCTGAAATACTTACAACTATATTTTCAATGTATTTTTCTGCAAACCAGGTGTGCCTATACACAAACTCTTCAATTATAATCTTTCTCTCTCTCTGTTATTTTAAAGGATTAATGTAACACAAATGATATCATGGTTACATATCCCCCTAGTATAATTTGATCTTTCTCTTTTGAAGCAAACACAATCTCATGGATGAGGCGTATATGGATTTTCAGGTTGAGAGGAGATAGCATAATAATCTAGTCTTGAACAAGAGAAAACAAAACTGTTCAACTGAGAATTCATATGCCAAAACATTCTTTTTATAGATATTGTAGAAAAGCACTTTACTCCTATCATTATAAGTTCTCACCTGATCTTGAATTGCAAAAAAAAAAAATCTGAGAAAATTTTCTCAGATTGAATAACTGGTTTCTAGTGCTCTGCCATTGTAACCTCTAGGAATCAATGCCTTATCTCAAGTCTGGCTACATTCTGTTTCCAGCCAATAGATTTTGTTTTACTTTCCCCACTAGACGGAAAAAAACCCCTCACAAACAAACAAAATCTCCCTCACCCGAAAAAGACAAC